AGGAAATCTAAGTTTGGGCAAGCCCTTTCGAATGGCGCCAACCGCGATCAAATCGGTCAAGCCGTTCAAAAGTAAATAGTACACACACACACACACACACACACACACACACACACACACACACACACACACACACACACACACATACAGACGTACGGACATCATCGTAAAAATAGTCAAGGAAGCTTCTTGTGTCTTTCAAACGTCGAGATTTGATGAAAACTCGATTTTTGTAAAACGGGGTGAAAACAATAACTTCCCGATTTTTGAAAATCTGAGATTTTTAGCGGGAAGTTAAAAATTAAACTCAAATAATGGATTTTTTCGCAAGTTACAGTGTTTCCAGAGTTCTATACATGACGGATAGGAAAAAAATTTTTTGATCGTAAAGCACTCTCTGATGCTTCGCATCATGAGTCGTGCAATATAAATAAAAATTGAATCTTTGACATAATTTTATCGACGAAGAACCAATGGGTTTGAATAATATTTAGAGATGAAAAGCTTTAGGCTCACAAGTGGGTGACAGCTCAAGAAAATATTAAGGAAGGTTGAAAATTTATTGAATGAAGTCAAAGTTTTGTGAGCCAAGAAAATTTTTTTTTGCTCAATAATAACTTTCGTTTTCCTTAAAATTTTCTTATATCACATTTAAAACATACAATGTATACGAAAATCAGTCAAAACTATTAAAAATATATTTTAATACAAAATTTGTATATATTTATAAATGTTTTTCATGAGGGTACTTTATGCATCAGCTGGTATTTTTTCAAATTTTCAATTAATTAAACTCGTTCTTGAATATTTCATTATACAAAATGCAAAGAGTTTTGTTTTAGCAGAAGAAAGGTACCGCTTTAAAGTAAAAATAAAAAATTAAAATTATTACAGTTTTTTTCTGAATTAAACTGACCAAAACATAATGAGACAATTAAAATAAAAAAATTTTAAAAGATTCTTACGAATGTTATATTCTAAGCATAAAAAAATTATCAAATTTATCCTAACGATCACATACAGCTGTCATGATACTAACAAATTATAATTGAGGTACCCATGGATTACAAGAGTAATCGATGACCTTAATATCTTTATAAATATATGAATAAGAATCGGTAAATGTATATGATTGTTTATGCTAGATGGATCCGAATTTACAATCGCTGAATAAGTAGCTTGTATTTTCTCTGTGTGATAGACTTGGTTAATTTGTTAATGTTAGAGAATTTAATCCATGAGAAAGAGCCAAAAGACGCCGGGTTAGGTTCTTAAGTGAAACCACAATTTTGTTTGATTTGATAAATAATATGAAAAGAAGATACTGTTTGTCGGGCGGTACTTTCGTTTATTGTGTACCTAACGGTTGTTTAGTAATAACTGGAATTTTGTATGGTTAACCTTGTATTTACATTTGAATTAGTTGGAATTTTAATATCGCTACATTCTTACCTATGAGAAAATATTTTTGTGTATTTATACCAAAATTTCTTGGTTATAAAATACGATAAATGTATTTTGTATAACAGTACACCAGGAAGAATTAATTATTTGAGATCTTGACTTAAAAAAATTATTAAAAAGAAAAAAATAATTTCAATTTGTTGTTTTATTTAAATTTTAAAAATTTTCCGTATTCGTAATAGCTGAAATTATTGAAGTTCCTTCACGGAAAAAAATAATCGGTAGATGCTACCGATTGGCGATCGGTAGCAGCTACCGATTTTTTTTCGGTAGATGCTACCGATTTTTTTGGTAAAGGCTACCGAAAAAATCGGTAGCTGCTACCGAAAAAAATCGGTAGTTAGCTGCCGAAAAAAATCGGTAGCAGATACCGATTTTTTCGGTAGAGTCTACCGATTATTTCGGTGCAGGCTACAGATTACCACACGGAGAGAATTTTATGTTAATGGTAACCATCCTTATTTTGTACACAGAAAAAAAAAATATTCTTAAATCAAGTATATATTTTTGAAGAGCTCAATATTCTTGGTTTGAGTAGAAAAATTCTTGATTTAAGAAAATTTTTCTTGATTTAAGGAAATTTTACTTAATTCAAGAATTTTTCGTCTTGATTCAAGACAATTACTCTCTTCAAAATTATATTCTTGGTTCAAGAATTTTTCTCTTGAATCAAGTTAATTTTTTTTCTGTGTAGCTTCTACTATTCAGCATAATTATTAACTTTTGCAAAGTTAAGATGATAAATGGAACTACCCGGCGATTGTAATTAGTACAATCAATATATATTAATTCCCACAATTATATAAAAACTACACAAGAAGTGTAAAAAACTAAATTTTTTCGATTTTAGAGTCAGAAACTAATAACATTCGAATGTTTGACATAAGAGTGAGTATTGAAAAAAGTATATTTATATTATTAAGAGAATAACAAAAATTTCATCTTCAGGATAGTAATAATATTTAACTTTCTTAAGTAAACTAAAGTATACGGTAATTTTTCTAAAATATTCGTTATATTTTTTTACAAAATCAGTATTTGCTTTTATTCTTTTCTTTTTGTTTAATGTTATTATTTTTTTTTTTCTTTACTCAACGTGCCAAAATGTATAATAAGTATTACACGAAAAGCCCAACGTTCTATGCGTCTGATTATGTATCGTGGCTTTAAACACGAGATGCCGGTACAAAGTGGTCATTTAATGAAATACCTAGGCTGATAATGCAATTTAAATATTTTTCACTACACGCCGACGCTTCTGGAAGTGCCTAGGTATTTCATGAAATGACGAATTTTGCGAAAAGACTACGACATATATATATATATATATATATGAAAAATATAGCAAAATGTATGTGGGTACTCAAATGACAGCTCTTAATGAGTATGACATCAGGATGAGCTCATATAATAAAAAATGTCAATAATTAAGAACCATCCCGATGTCCGCTTTACTGTTTGAAACTATAAATGTAGCCTCCACCGAAAAAATCGGTAGCCTCTACCGAAAAAAAATCGGTAGCTGCTACCGATCGCCAATCAGTAGCATCTACCGATTATTTTTTTCCGTGTTAATTTTTAATTATCTAGTTTTTCAATTAATTTTTCTGTCATTACAACTAATTATAAACAACTTCTGAAGATGTTTTTTTTTTGTTTTCAGTCAAAAAACTGTCGGTTCAATTCTACTTACTTTTCAAAAATATTAGTCGCATTATTAGCTACACTTTGATGTACGATCTTCATAATTTTTTAAAACAAATCTTAATATAAAAAATTAAAAAACCTGCCTTAATAGAGAACTAAACTAAAAAGTCTAAAATAGTTTGTAATAAAGCTAAAATATCGATTGTTATAAATATTGTATTTGTAGATATTTGTTAGAGTAAATGTTTTAAATAATTATCTTAAAAAAGCTCTGATCACTCTATTTTTATTTTGAATTTATTGAAAAATTATTATCTACTTTTTAGTGTAGATTGATATTAAAACGGGTTTTTTAATTTTTTAAACCATCATATATTATCAAGTTATTTAGTACTACTAGCAAACGCAGTGAATTATTATATAAGTTAAATTTTCTATGAAACTTACTCAAATTTATTAGGAGATTGAAAATGTTTTAGTTGATCTAAAAACTGATGGAAATAAGAATAGAACTTAATATAAAAATTTTTAAATGATCGGCAGCAGATTGCTGTACACCACTCAGGAAAAAATTTTTTTGATTTACGTGCATTTACTCAAGTATGCTTATTGTCCCCTAAAAATAAAAAGCGCCATTCGGCCATACCCGACATGGATAGGTAGATTTCTCGTTTGAATATTAAAAAAAACACGTTATTAAAAGGCAATAATGTCATAAAATGTATTTTTCATCATATTTTTGCAAATAACGATATGAGACCGACTACAATAAATAGATATTTGAAGACATCTACCTAAAAAAAATAGGATTTGTAACAGATGAAAGTTATTTGATAATAAAAGCTAAAAGTTTATTTATTCTAGATTTTTTTTAATTTTCCCAACTACGAAATAAATGGAAAAATGGATCAAAAGGCGACGAATAATAGCTCAAATTAAAGATAATTATGTAAATTTTAACATAAATTTAATAGATTTAAGCTATCTTTTACGACCTAAAAATTATTTGAAAAGAAGGGCCGAAATACGTTCATTGAAAAATTTTTGAAAATTTTCAAAGTCACGAAATTAATTAAAAAAATCATTAAAACTAGACAAATGATAGTTTATATTGAAGGTAATTAAATGAAGTTTAAGATAAATCCGATAGATTTTATCTATCTTTTGAGTCTGGAAAATTATTTTCATAAAATCTACAAAATTCAAAATTTTTTGAAAATGAACAAAATTTTTAAACACCCACAACTCGTAAACTAACCGGCCGATTTGGCTCATCTTCGAACTTGATCTTGGTATCGATCCACAGAATAAGCTCACAAAATTTCATGACGATCAGTTGAAAACTTTGGGCGCAATCCTGCTGACATGGCGCGTTATATCACATATATATATATATATTCTAAAGAAATCTACCTAAATAAAAAAAAATCGTTCGAAATAGAACATTTTTTAATTTCAATCACGTAAATTCATGCCACAAACCTTAAACTTATATTGCAAAATCAAGGTTGTCGAAAAAATCTGCTATTTGCGGTCTTATGACGTAAATGACTGTTTTTACGGTACACTGATAAAAAAATTGACGTGACTCAAGAGCCAAAATCTTGAACCAAGAATACCATTTTGAAGAAAATGATTTTCTGGAGTCAAGAGAATTAATTCTTGAGTTAAGAAATTATTCTTGGTCTAAATGCCATTTTTCGACATTACTCGATGAAATGAAACATATTATGACAAAATTTTCTAAAAATTACGATATGAGACCGGCTACAATAGATAGCTTTCTAAAGAAATCTACCTAAAAACTCGTTGGTTTAAATTTTGAATTAGTTTTAAAACTAATTATAGTTGATTGAACGATGATAAAATGCAAACCGAAACTTAGATAAAATATTATTAAAAAAATTTTATAAAATTTTTATTTATTTTATTTACAGTTAATTAGTATCGCTCTCAATTGTAAATGTTAGAAAATGTAATGAAAATAGAAAAAAATCTAATTTCATATTAATTTTTGATCCGATCGCCTCCAAACTGTACAAGATCACCCGCTGGGACGTCTGTAAAATTAGCATTGACTCAATCCAGTATTGACCGACAATTATCACCGGTTGCTCAGAATCTATTCAAGTAACAAAATTCAAATTATAGAAACTAATTAGCAACAAATTTATCACAACATAAGAATTTTTTTGCTTGAATAATGATCGAGATACTGATGATCAACGTTGGACGAGTTAATGCCAGCATTACAGACATCCCGTTGGGCTATTAAGTAGATTGTTTAACAATTTCATAAAAATCAATTCAGTTTTTTCGGAGTCATTAGGAAAATACATATAGACATAGATCCTTACATATATCGACAAATTAAAAATCAGAACCGTTAGATAGTAATATTTTATTTAATTAAAAGAACAATATTGATTAAAATTTTACAAATGATGCACGTTTAGCCTGTAAAATTAGTTATTATTTTTATTTTCATGATCCTGGCCAGAACTCTAAGACAACCTTATTAAATTACTGTATTATCAGCGGTTTTTGATGTGTGTGTTAATTGTCAAATCAATTAAATGTCTCAAAAGTTTACTCGAAATTAAAAAGATACCAACATGTCAAGCAAATAACAGTGTGCTAATAAAGTTGACCACCTACTTTCCTTTTCATCAAACTCTCTACGGTATTTAAGTTTGATAGATGTCAGCGATTAATTTTTTAAAAAACGACCTACCAAAGTCATTGAACTATCCTCGAATTGTTAATATCCTCACCCGCTTTCACAAGCACGCATCATAAATTGCTTTATTTAAATTAATATTGCTCTCAATAAAATTACTCGCATGCAAACAATGACAATTGAGCGAAACCTGTTCTATTTTTCAGCATACTAATTTCTTATTCTATCTTATCACAATAAAATAATCATAAAAACATAAAACGAATAAATATCAAGTCAATAACATAAATAATTTATTAAATACATAAATTATAATACAAAGTATCATCTAGTCAGTAAAAAAATCACCGGAAACTCTAAAAGCGAACTCATGCTTCTGGAGCGTAGGCAGCGTATGCGAGATGTTGAGCTGCCGATTGATCATCAGCCTGATCACTGAATCCGCGGTACTGAGCCTGGTACTCCCAGGGTCCGTGGGCAGAAATGGGGGCAGAATGGCTGTCAGCTGCAATCTTCTTGCACAATTGGAAGATGGCCAATCCAACAGAGACGACGAAGCTGAAGAAGGACAATTGAAGGGCGTTCCATGCCTTGAGACCGAGCACACCGATGGCCAATGGGATCAGAGTCATCGCCTTCAGCAGGACAAAGACCATGATGGGGATGATGACTTTCTTCAATTTGGACCTTCTGGCTTCTTCGACAGCTCTTCCTTGGCCGAACTTAAGGTCGAAGCTCAACTGGTCGTTTTCGATGTTTCTAGCACTGACTTTGACGGCAGCGTCGAGAGGCATTTTGAAGGTCACGTCGTGGGAAACAAGATAATTTTGCACGGTATCAATGAATGACGATTCGCTGCGTGCGGTTTCTTCAACTGGTTGGGAGTTACGCGTTACTTCAATGGCGTCTGATACCTAGAATCAGTTTGACAGATGCTGGATAAGCAAGAAGGGGTGTATGATCAAGATTAAGAACAAGAAGAGAAAGCGACTTACCTTGAAATTGTCTTTGCGGAAAATTTGGTCGAGCAGATTGAGAACTTTGAACTTCATGCAAGCCATGTCATCGTTGTTGCGTGCACAATCGGATTTTGTTTGCTCGACGATAGAATCCATGTTTGAACTTTTCCAGGCCTCGATTTTCGCGGGTTGGGCAGCAGCCAACGCCACAACTGCTGTCAGCACTACGATAAACTTATTCATTGCTGATGATATTGATTTGAGTTACGATATCAATAAATCGGATCCAATTGGCGGTGATAACTGAAGGCGACGATAATTGTCAACGGTAGTTCTGCAACTGATGCCGGTTGATCGAGTAAGTGACTATTTATACGTACCTATACTCTGTATACGGATAGTCCTCATGAGTTATAATATGTGCCCCTTCTTCATTCCACGGAACGAATTTTCTTTTCATTCAGTATGGTCTTCGATTATCGAGGTCTCTTTGTGCATGATTTGACTGCTGATGAGCTGAGAACAGGTCGATGAAATGGAGTAAAATACTTTTGTTGTCGGAAGAACAAGGTATGCCCGAGTTTAGTCGTTCATTGTAGTTGAGCTTCTTGTATATAGTATGCTATTACTATACTCACCCTAATACACGAGGTGAGTTATAGTGTCACCAGACTTATTATATATGCAAGACGAATTGATAACGACCTTAGGAGAAATTTTTTTACGGTTGTTGTTAATTAATTAATTATTATAATTATTACTATTTTGTAAATTTATAACAGTTAGATGATAATTGTTATAAATTAACTAATATAAAAACCATTTATGAATATTTTAATACTACTAGAATTTAAATTTACGCGCGCAAGCGCGCGCCTTGACTATAGAGTTTGCATATATTTTCATGTTTATGATATATTTGACCAATCACGTTACGAATAGTTTGATGCCACATACATTTCATCTCAATTTTATATTAGGATTTTCATGTTTATGATATATTTGACCAATCACGTTACGAATAGTTTGATGCCACATACATTTCATCTCAATTTTATATCAGGATTTGTATTGAAAACACATTATTTCACTCTAAATTAAAATTTTTAATAAGAAATCGGCGAATTTTATGAATCATTTTATTTTAATTGAACAAACTGGAAATCAATATAACTAATTATAAATACAACCAAAAATTTTTAAATACAAAGTCACGATTAAGTTTAAATAATACACAAAAAAATTTTGGATTAATCCAAATATGCTCACTTTAATTTAAGCGCTTATGTTTAAAGTAAATTGATCAAAGTAAAGTTTAAATTTACATATGTAAGAAAGTATTCACTAATAATAACATGAATTACATTCATACTACTTTAGATTTCTTAATAATTTTATTACAACTAAATTGCAAGAAATTAATTTTATTTATTTTATTACAATTCAATTTTTAAATTTAAATTTTTTCGCAAATATTCGTATTTATTTAAATACGATATGAACGCCCTCTTGCATTTTGAGTGGTGAAATCATGAAAAGAATTGATGATAGACTGTATTACCGGCGGTCAGTAAGCTTCGCAACAATTGAGTATAGTATGAGTTTACTTCAAGGTGTGTTTACAAAACAAATAATAAATATTGCTGCTCAAAGGACAAAAATTTTCAAGCTGAGAACCGAAATGAACAAATTTTAATTAAACGAAAGGGTATTAGGACGTGACTTGCAATATCATTATCTGAAAAAGACCAAAAAAGAGATTGAATAAAAAAAATTAAAGAAAAAAAATTTTTTTGCAAGTTCAAGTGTTTACAAGAGAGAAAGAACCTAAAAAATCTGCACCATATACTACTTGAACACTTTTATTCTATGAAATATGTTAACGTATCGATTTCGAAATATTTTAGGTCGATCCAGCAATAGTTTTTCAATCAATCAGTATAATTTTCATTTCGTTTATGTGGATATAATAATTGTTAAATGCTACTTAATGTGGCGAAATCAAGTATTTGTTTTTTAGGTGATAATAGAACAAACCTACTAGTCTAGTCAACAAGAGCAAAAAATACGACTAGGTCAATGACCGCACGCAAAATTATGATCGAGATGTCATTGGATGCGGAAATTTATGTTGATATATGTTTTACAATTTGTCCCATGTCGCGCAAACAATTAGTGGAAAAGTTATAAACAAATTATGTAAAAAAAAAAAAAGGGGGTCTGACTTATATCTGCTACTCAATTGTTACATTAAATCAAATTTTCCATAAAGATAATAGAATGAAATCAATCTAATGATTATTAATTTGAGTTTGGAAAACGTTTGAAGCTGCCTTCAAGGTATCGGACAAAAAATATAAACTCAAGCTTAATTATGGATGTAATAGTGTAAATTCTAGCTTTATTTTATAAGCTGTGACTTATTTTTTATATATTTAAATAACAATTATTTTGTTTAACATTGTAAATAATAACATTAAATATAATCTTTTCTGGACGTCCTCGTGTCTGTGTTTATGAATCTGTGTATGTGGCAGGGAAATTGCTCAAAAATACTATCGTACCGGAATAATTTTTTTTTTATCATTTAAAGTAACATACTGTAGACTGTTTCACTTGATATGAGCGTTCAATTCACTGTTGTTTAATTATTATTTATAGAAAACTAAGATACGACTATGTATTTGTATATCTATGTATACATTTTATCATTTTATTGGATTTTCCAAACTTTTTGTATATATTTATGAAAATTTTAAAGCTGAAGAATAATTTGGAAAATTATAAAATTTGAATTTGATAAAGCATCCAGTGATAACTCATCTTTCAAGCTTTAAGATACATTTTTACGATATTGAGTTATCACTTAGTTTAAATTATTAAGAAAATATTTTTCAAACACCCATAACTTTTAAATTAATGATCTGATTTCGCTTATCTTCAAACTTGATCAAAATATTCGCTTATTGAATGAATAGCTTTTTATCATCATCCATTAAAAATTTCAATTCAAATAAATACCTTACGAAAAATTTCGGTGTCTTTTCGACTAATATATATGCGCCAGAGTAAGGAAGACAGAAATAGTAAGACACAAAGCAGTCCGACAGTACTACACAGAATATAAACTAATTTTCTTCAGTTTCAGAATTTGGCATTAAAATTCATCAATATACCGCAACAAGAATAAATAAGAATATTAATTAAGTCACTTCATGTCTGAAGAAATTTCACTTATTCAGTTTAAATTTAGAGCAACTTTCGATTTTTCATCCAATCATCAGAAGACCTCTCACAAAATAAGTATATCTAATTCTTATCATTTTTTCTCATAAATTTCAAAAAATTCGAATGCCCTTAAGAGACATAATTAAAATTTTCTATGTACATCATGAATTAAAAAAAAATAGTTTAAGGAATTATTCTAGTTTCGGCGCTCAAAAATAAATAATTCTATCAATTTTTTATTGAAACACTACCAAAGATATTAATAAAAAGTTTATTTAGCTCCAACAATACATTTCAAGAATCATTAAAAAAAAAAAAACATTTATATTTATAGTTTTATACAGTTCTTATATTAATGATTTTAATAATAATAACAAAAGCAATAATTATAACCATTGATTTCCGAACATAAATAATTTCTTTCATCATAAATAATTTTGGGTTTTGTGTTTTAGATAAGTCGTTATCACCACTGCCAATAACGTATCAATTTTTTGAGGAGCTCCAATCATTCGTTGTTTATTAATATCAAATGTGTAGAAAAATAAAAGTAGAGATGTTTTTTTTAATTTTCTAAAATATATTTGTTGCGCTGAATATACTGTTTATCAATAGCTTCGCTAGTATTTTAATAAAAAATTAATAAAAATAGTCCATTTTTCGAGCATCTAATCCAAAATCTTCCAAAAAAACTGATGAATTGTGATAAATTATTTTTTTATTTTCATATGTACCTTGATATGGCCATATATGATCAGACTAGGCGAAATATACTGACATATAGGGTAAAGGACCTCATTAGTGGCGGGGACCCCATTACTGACACTTTCTTTGATTTTGGTACTTATTCAAGTAATGAAATCATTAATTTCATTAATAAATATATTATTTCCAATCTTTAAGATCTTTATATCAAAAAAATTTTTAATTTTTATTCCAAGTAGAACATTTTTTTATTGAAAGAAAAAGTGCCACTAATGGGGTTTTTTACCTTAGCCATAAATAATTTTTTTTCGATTATTAGTTCAACAGACAGACGTGTGAAAAAATGTAACTACTAAACTAAGACTTATAGTATTATTTTTATACTTTTACAAGTGTGCAAAATATATTTTATTACAGTTAATTCAATGAAAAAAAAAAAATTGTTTGCAACAGAAAAACTTCTAAAAAATTATAACTTCTCTACATTCATTCCATTGAAATTATTTACAAGTAAAAAATATTTTTTTTTTTTAATTTCCCGCTAAGAAAAATTGAAAATTTTTCAAAATTCGGGAAGTTGTTTTTTTTTTATATATATATAAACAATTCAGATCAAGAAAAATTTGATCACACGGAGCTCAAAAAAATTCTAACCCAGAATCGCAAACGAAAATTCCGTTGCCCTAAGCTAAAAACTACTAAAGGAACATCTTGAATTAAACGAACCAAGATAGTTTGAATACATTTCTCTAAAATACCAGGCTAAATTAGACAGACATTCATGTAATAACTAAAAAAGTCACGTTCAATATCAGCCGGAAGTGCATTAACCACATATGAAATCGGTATCATCAAGCCCGTGACACTGAAACGCCTCGGCAAGTCTAACAATAACTACATTAAAAGTCAAATAATAATATATTCATATCACGAGCGCCACTTTCAACACGTCCATTCTTATTCGCGTACACGTGAACCCGTTAATTTATCATACTAATTCTTCTGGGTTACTTTTAATCCACCCTTGCTCTCCTCAAGCCGCGTTACAATGATCGCATTACCGAGTAACTTCCTCCAACATTGTAATTAGTAAGCCTATTTTCGTCCCCAAATCTCTCCGAATGAACAATTAACAGCAATTATCGTCATTCAGCTCAGAATCTTATCACTTAACGACTTAGCATTCCTCCTGATCAGCAACTACGATGTCTAATGTAGGTCATCTCAATTATCTTACGCTAAAATATTCAGGCCAATGACATACGTAAACAATAACGTGAATAATTTACTGGCCGTCGACACACTGAGCCTTTCCATTGTCCTTGACTTTGACAACAACTTTTCCTTCGTTCCAGAATACTAAATAAATCGAAAGTTAAAGCCCAAGTTTTTTCATATTCAAATTTTATTCATACAAAATAAATAATTACACTATATTCGATAATTAACAATAAATAATCAATAAAATTGCTGCTAAAGATTTCAAATTCCTAGTTTTAGTTTCTGTATCCACTGTAAGGCCCATTGGCGTTAGCGTCCCAATGAGGCTGGGCGTGTTCGACAGGTGGGTGTCCATAGTGCACCACTTCGTAAGCAACTTTGGGCTTGGTCAGCTTGAAGATCATCATCGCTCCACTGAGTACCAAGGAAAGAAGGCCTAAAGTTAAAGCTTTCCAGGTTTTCAGGGCAATTAGAGCAAATGCAAGAGGCACAAGGGCAGTTGCTTTGAACTTGAGACCCAAAAGGAAAGGAATCATGACTTTCTTGACGAAACCACGTCCTACAATCAAAAATAACAATCAAATTAATGTCATAAGTCTTTTGGATGATTGATCAATGTCGGATTGATTAATGATGTACCTTGTCCATTGGAAGAGTCTGACAGTGGAACACTCAAGCTGCGAGGAACGGAGTCAACCAGTGACCGTGGAACGATGTTGGATCCAACGATTGCTTCGGGCAACTTTGCTTCCAATTGGTGCGAAGACAAGTAAGAATCCAGTTTTTCTAGCATCAGTGATCTGAGTAACTCCTTCTTCTTGGGGTCGACGCCATCGTAGGACAAATAGTCCTGGTTGTCTTCGGAACTGAACTCTCGGGACCTGACTATCTTCAAGTCCTGCGTTATTGGAACACTATCAGCGTTAACTACGTCACTCAAATATGCCAGAACTTTGGGCTTCACGCAGGATATCATCGACTCACTGTCCACGCATCTGGAAGAATTTCGTTAAAAGTGATGGAGATAAGATCTGCTGATTGATGTTTTAGAAAATGATGCAACTTTGAAAGAAACTAAACTTACTTGTAGTAGATTTTCTGGAGGACTTGAGCAGTAGTTGTGATTTCTTGCGCGCTAGCCGCGGCTATGATAACTGCAAATATTATCAGCAGATTCATGGTAGTCTGATAACGATTTGATTATTGATATTGGATGACACAACGATGACGTCCAATCGATTTGCTTGGCAAAAGACCGAGTGGTTTATTTAACGCTCCACACGGTTTTATATAGCCGATGCCTGGAGCCAAGAACGGCTTGTGCATTTTTATTAGTCTGGGAAGTGTTGGTGTATTGAATGAAAATAAAAAATAAAAAGAAAGCAATTTTATCTAGGGTGACGATGATGGTTGATGTACTTGAATGAAATTATTTAGTTCACTGTACTGTATATTATTATTGTTTTAATTGTTCGGCTGGAAATAGATTGGAATTGTTTGTCTTAATTGGAAAATTTTTTGACGCTACTTCCTCTAAATGGCATTTGGATCTATTGCAAGACTCATACTGCAAAGCATCAGTGCTTTACGATCGTAAAATTTTGTTCGCCTCATTTCGACAACTATTTTTATTACTATACTCTTGATAGTTCACGGAATCAAGATATTGTGCATACTATTGTGAAAATAACTTATTAAAGATTAATTCGAAAATTTTGAAAAATTGATTTGGTGCAATAGAAACGGAAAAAAAACTTCGAAAAATTATTCTGTCCGTCATATATGAAACCCTAAAAACACTGTATACGGAAAAAAAATCCTATGAAAAATTACAATGGTAACATCGTAATCCAGGACTAAACTTTCAGTATGTTGATTTTTACGATGCTGCCGCCTACAGAATACAATTTGAATTAATGAAATTTACGATGTTATTTAGTAAATTTTTTTTCCGTAAGATCAAGTGAAAAAGGACGCATACTATATGTTTTAATAAAAGAGAGACAGAGTCCAATAGTTTGCGACGCCACCACCGAAAGATGACCAACTACTGTATCGAGGGTCTTATTATGTGACTGAACAGAAATTATGGACATTCCCTCTGATGGCGTAAGGAATAAACCTTGGGCTTATGGTGGAGAGAACACCGGGTTCGATTCCTCCGTGATACAGAATTATTTTTTCGGTGACTTATTGTTAGACTTCTTTTTAATTTGAGTGATAGAAATTTACAATGTTGCATCGTATAAATTAAAATATTTGAGTTCTGGTCCGGCACTACAATATTCTATACTAAAAATTACAATGTTTCCATCGTAATTTTTCGTACAATTTTCTTTCCGTGTAACTTGCAAAAATATCCATTAATTGATTCAAATTTTTTTTTTCAATTCTTTGAAAGAATTGTAGATAACCAAATGCGAATGGCTGTATAACTCAATGTTGTTTAAATACATTCAATAAAACAAAAAAACCAAAAGACTGTGGATCTATATATATTATGTACATTTATCCTACTAGGGGCGTTTGCGCATTGTTGTCCTATTAGAGCAGTTTTATATTTTTTTTCACATTTCTTATTTTATTATTATTTCATCATTAAATGAGCAATAAGAGTTGTGCACTTTTGGATTTTTCAAACAGTTGTTATCGATAATTGCAACATTGAAACTTTACAATTATAAGTTCTTTTATTTTTTTCTAGATTGTTGAAAGAATATTCCTTATCAGACAATTAAATTCGAAGTTATCAAATATTGTTAAAATAAAATTTTTTTATTCAATAGTGCAGTTTGAAAGAAGTTATCACAAAAGTTGGTTACCCTAGCGAACTCGATCCTACTTAAAAAAATACCTAAATTATACTGAAATTTGGTGAATATTTCAATCATTTTTTTTGTAACTTTTAAAAACTACCGAAAATAATAAACTTTTTTTTTACGAGAAATAATGCGTCAAAAAAGCAAATTTTTTTACGCAAAATTTTGCTTACTTGTAACGATAATTGGACTACCGCTAGTTGATTCAGAAAGAAAAACAGTATCAGTATCTTTTAAAGCTGATTGGTTCTCTAGAGAACGATCATACAACCAAGTAATAGCTGTTATCGAGCATATTGGAAAAACATTAAATGCAATAATTAATTTACCTCGCAATAGAAATACTAGTGAAGTAAAATGTAATCTGCTCACGACATTTGATTTTCTTTATGGTGGATTCGAATTTATTGAAGAAATTATTAAAGATAATAAGGTTGATTATGATATGATGAGAAAAGTTTTATTTCCTCCAAATTCCAACGAAATCACTAATGAATTTCATAGAATTATTTCAAATATTGATCTTTTGTTTGATCATACCTTTTTCCTTAATCGGAATTCTTTTGAAGATTATAACAACATAAAAATTCATAAGTTTTTGAACGATACGATTTACAACTTCAAATTTCGCAACGATCTACGGATGACAGATTATTTTAAATCATGGAATATAACTCAACCATTCAAAAATAGAATTGATAAAAATATCTTTGAAATTTATTTCATAACTTTGCAGAATGAGGTGAGTGATATTTATAACTTCTGCAATACAATCGAATGATTTTTATACGATAACGATGCAATGGTTTAATTAATCTAATTTTAATTGTTATTTTGTATATTTATATCTCAAAACTTTGATTATTTTAACTGGTTGCTCTGAAACTCAATGATTTGAAAAAATTGGGAAGTTATTACTTTCACCCAACTTTTCGAAAATCGAGTACTCATCAGTTTTTAAAGTAAATGTTCTTTTTTATGTCTGAGAGAATATATCGAATGCCGTTAATAGCATGAGAATCGATTGATACGTTCGGGAGATATTGCAATAAAAATTGTATTTTTCAGATCGGTGAGTTCTTAAGGTATCATTCTGATTCTGGTGCTCGAAAATAAACAATATTTTATTTATTTTTTTGATTTTTTTAGAGAGAAAATATTATAGATATTAATATTATTTAACAACAGGTAAACGAAACTCCTCCAGAAGTTGGTAGTTGGTATAACGCTGATGTACACGATAGCTTAATAAGGGTTCATTTAAAACACAAAAACCAAAATTATTTACAGTAATTATGCAGAAGTGGGGCTCCACCTATTTTAGATAAAATTGGAATAAAATAAAAAATTGATCTTTTTGGATATTTTTTTTTTTCAAATTGTTCTTCTTCACAGCGGATTTATGATAAAAATGATAAAAATTATGTAAATCAAATATTTTGATGTTTTTTTTTTTCATTTGAAAGTTAAAAAATTTACGATTTCAAAAATTTCCAAATTATGATATTCTGAAATTTTTTTTTTATTCATTCTATTTTTATCGCTCTTTAAGAAAAAAAATATTTCAATAACCGGAAAACGTAACATCGTCACCATTTAATTGAAAAACACCTAAAATCTTAAATTTTGAATTTTCAAATAAAAAAAAAAACATCAAAACATTTAATTTTCATACTTTTTATCATTATTATCATAAATTCGCCGTGAAGAAAAACAATTTGAATAAAAAAATTAGGAAATCGGTTGACCTTAAAGGCGATCCCTGCAACTTCACGCTAATTCCATTCTTAACCGCTCGAAATTACACTTATTACGTTTTAGAGCTTTTCGAGGTTTTTTGATGTCAAGAGCTGATTAGTTTTTGAAATCGATCGGTGTAGCCGTTCAAAAGTAATTCCAAAAAAACCACATTTGAAAAAATTTTTTTTTAGATTTCTCAAAATCTACCGGTTCGAATCGGTTTAAGTTGTATTCAAAATTTAAGTTTGGTCAAGCCCTTTCAAATGGCGCTAACCGCGATGAAATCGGTCAAGCTAACACACACACACACACACACACACACACACACACACACACACACACACACACACACACACACAGCCATATGGACATCATCGCGAAAACATTCAGGGAAGCTTCCTAGGACATCAAAACGTCGGGATCTGATGAGAACTCGAATTTCGAAAAACGGGGTAAAACTACCCGTGTAAAAAAAATCGTCTTAAAATTGTCTCAAAATTGTCGTTCGTTTAAGATCTTAAACGTGACACAAACTAAGACTATTTTAAGACTCTTTTAAGACGCCAAAAGAAAAATTCCGAGAGCAGATTTTTGAAAATTTTGTTCTCGAATTTGTTGTGAAAATTAATTTTTAGATGATTTTACGACTTTCTAACCGCAATTTTTTTGAGTAAGATGTTTTTAAATTGAATTTAAAATTGTTAAGAAATTATTATCTGACAATTTTAAGACTTTTTTTAAGACGTTCCGTTTTAATGTTCCAGAGCTCTGTCACTGTTAGTCCATCTTGAAATAGTCTAAATTTTTTTTTAAGACTAATTTAAGATAATTTTGAGACAATTTAAGGACGCTCCATAATAATTTTCCGGAGCTGCTACTGTGATGTTATCTGAAAATAGCCTTAAAAATTTTTTAATATTTTTTTTTTTAGATTTCTTTAAGACTATTTTAAGATTTTTCAAGACTATATAAAAATTATTTTCAAACTTAAATCTTAAAATAGTCTTAAAAAAATCAAAATAATTATTAAAAAATCTCGGAATTTTTTTTTTTGGCATCTTAAAAGAATCTTAAAATAGTCTTAGTTTGTGTCACGTTTAAGATCTTAAACGAACGACAATTTTAAGACAATTTTAAGACGATTTTTTTTACACGGGTAATAACTCCGATTTTTGAAAATTTTCAATTTTCTTAGCGGTAAGTTAAAAATGTTTTGAACGTTTTGGACTCGAATAAAGTAGAAAATTTTTAAGACTGACCAGCAGGATCAACCGGCCTTCAGATTTTTAACTTTTAAATTTTCTGAAAATGGATGCAATCAAAAGTGAGAAATTAAGTTCGCCGGATGTAATTGTGATCAACAAAACTTAAAATCGGGAATCCGACAGAGAATGATACAAGTATATGATGTGGTAGTTAATATCCAAAGTTTTTGTCCTATTATATTGTCATTGCTTCGCTCATGACGTCCAAAACGATCGCTTCGGAACCTCGAAATTTGATTTGTTGTCTCTCGTTCTTTTTAAATTAAATTTTTTTTTTTTTTTTTTTAAGACAGTTCATCAATATTGTTATTTTATCATTATCATTATCAAGAAAGTTTTCGGTTTTTTAATGATAATAACTTACAAAAAACAAATAGTTGTAAAATTACTCTATTTATATATAAAATTTCAGATGGATAATGAAAAATTTTGCAACACATATATAGCGAAGTCACTTTTGGATTTCTGTGAGCATGTTCTGATTGCCATCCTAAAAGGATTT